GCTAGCAAAAGCAATATAACAAAGGAAATTGTAATTTTAATTGTAACAAATTAACGAAAAAAATTAAAATTAATTACTTTTCGAAAAAGGAATATATATATAAATTTATTTACCCTTTTCGAATTGTATAGCCCATAGGGAGCATTACGGATCGGGGTAGCTATTTAAAGGTAAAAACCGTACTTCCAACCAATAGCTATTTGGTATAAAGCCGGGTAAAAACTCCTTCTTTTCGAAGTATTTTTTACTCCGCGTCGTTTTTGTAAGTAGTTATTTGTAAAGTATTTTCCGCATTTCCAAACGTTTGGTAAAAAAAAAAGTTGTTATTGTTCGAAGCGAAGTATCGTAATCCGGTCGGAGGTCGGTTCGTTCGTTGCATTTAAATCGCGTTATTGGGTGCACGTTTCCGTGCCAATTTAAAGCCTTCCCGTTGTTCCTTCCTTTTTTATTAATTTTAGCAAATGGGTTAATATATTTGTTAAGAGCACGGGCAAAACCGCCCGGCAGAAAGCGGGGAGCGTTAAATGCACGGGCGAAACCGCCCGGCAAAAAAAAAGGAAGGGGGCGCTGGCAGCCAACCGGGCACGGACCCCCCGGGAATATGCCGGCGAGCTACCGGTATTGCGGCCAAAGCATAATAACGAAGCTAAAAAATAAAATAAAATTTAAATTGCACGAAAGCGCTTAAAGCGCAAAAAATTTAAAAAACCAACCCCGGATGCCCAAAGGGGCACAAAAAAAAGGAAGGTTAAAAAAAAACAATTTTTGTTAGCGATAGCACTTTTGGTAAAAGATTTACGGAAGCTTAATAAAAAAAACACTGCATTCGGCCCGTAACCCGGTAATTACCCGCTTTTGCACCGATTAACCCTTAATATATTATTCCTTTTTTTATACCTTTTTTATTTGGAAAGCAAGCCCGGGTAATTACCGGAAAGGATTAAGCAAGTTTAAAAAGGGCATTTGCAATTTCGCACCGTTTATAATAACGCCTAACGCTACGTCGAGCACATTGGAAAGGGCCGTTAAGCCACCGAAACAAAATACCAAAAAAGCCCCGCAAATTCCCAACGACTTCGAAAACCTTTTCGTAAAAAAGTTGCAAAAAATAAACGACGTGCTAAAAGCTTAAAGCAAACGCGCCCGTTTAATTCAAAAAATTTAAAACAAAAGGTTAAAACATGCGTATAAAAATTTAAACGAAAATAAAAAAAATACTTTTAAACAACGAAAAGGTTTTACGTAAAGCAAAATTACCTTTAAACCTTTTATGCTTAAAAAATCGGCAATTTAGCAAAATATCGCCCATTATATTAACAATTACAAATTTATTTTCGAAAGCGAAAAGGAACGTTACAATAAAAACCGTATAAAAGTTTAAATAATTTTTAGCACTTTTAATTATCGTTAACGGGCACAATGGACAAAATACAAGCAAATGCATTACCCAAATACCGGGGTATCGTTTATTTAAGCCAATTTTTCGCGGTAGCTTTAAGCAAAATCGAAAAACCCCAATTCGCAAATGTAGCTAGCAATTAAAAAGCTTGCGAAAAATATTGCTATTAAACAAAAGGATTACAAATCGTTTAAAGCGTTCCGGATTCGTTGGAATTTGGTAAAAAATAACCTTTCCGAATTAGTACCCAAATGGATAAAAATAACATTGCTTTTTAACCGGCTCCGCCCCAAAATCCAAAAACGAATAACATTTAAAAGCCTTTTTTACATTATGGAAAAATTGCAAGCTAAAGCCTTTAAAACAAAAATAATATCGGAACCGCACAAAAGGACCCTAAAGGACATAAATGTTTTAGCCTTTAAAAAGCCGGTTATTTGCTTTAAATACGGGCAGTTAGGCCATATCGCTGCAGCATGCAAAATACGAACGGATAACCCGGAAACCCCGTTGGCCCTAGCAACCATACAAAGGGCGAAAGGGAAAAGGCCCGAGGTACGGTATTACGGGTATAAAAAATTGGGCCATATCCGGCCGGCATGCCCTAAAAAAAGCAAAATATCGCTATTTAACTCGATACCGCTATTTGGCCGTTTAAATACCGGGGCCTAAAAATGCGCCCTAGCGGCCAAAACGCGCTGGAAAACCGAAATGTATTTACAAATTAACGGTCGCCGGGTAAAGTTAAAAACGCTGGTTAACAATAAAAACGACGTTAATTTATTGCATAACCGTTTCCTGGTAAAAGCAAAAAAAACACCGGTACCAAACGGGGGCCATTTGGCGTAGCTCGATACCAAAAAACGCATGCCCACGCTAAAGGTAAAGGAATACAAAATTTGGGTAACGGATAGCTAAGGAATAACCCAAAAGTTAATAATATTTTACGTAATAATGCCCCGGGCCGGGTATAACATTACGTTAAGCATGCCCTAACTTTAACAAAAAAACATTAAAATCCGGTTTGGAAATATAAAGTAAAAGTTTCCGGTAACCATTAAAAAGGTTAAAATAATTTCGTTGGAAATAGTTAAAAAGCTAATTTAATTGGAACAAGCAATAGCCGTACTAACGATTGCACGCCCGGAAACCCCGGAAAACCCCGGGGAAAAGCTAAAAGCTTTCCCGGAATGGGTTAAAAAAATAATTGCAAAACATGCGCAGCTTTATAAATTAAACCCTTTGCTAAAACATACAAATTGGAATTACGCGATCGAATTGGAAAAAAAAACGATACCGCCCCACGAAAGCATTTATTTTTTATCCAAAAAGGAATTAAAAACCTTTCAAAGGTATTTTAACGAAGCCATAACAAAAGGTTAAATCCGGCATTTAATTAGCCCCGCCGGCGCCAAAATCTTATTCGTTTTAAAAAAGGACGGAAAGCTTTGCTTTTGTATTAATTATCGGGGTTTTAACAAAATTACCAGGAAAAACCGGCTAGCATTCCCGCTAATTTACAAAATATTTAACCGGGTATTTAAAAACCAGTACTTTACCAAGCTAAATTTAAAAAACGCTTATTACAAAATACGGATCCGACAAAAAAACGAATGGAAAATTGCTTTCCGCTGCAAATATGGACATTACAAATATTTAATAATGCCTTTCGGTTTGGCCAACGCTTTAATAACGTTTTAAAGCTTTATTAATATAGCGTTTAAAAAATTAATTAATAACAATTGCATTGTATATTTAAACAATATTATTATTTTTTCGAAAATACAAAAAAAGCACCGCAAAGCAATAAAAACGGTGCTAAAACAATTCGAACGGTTTAAATTTTACGTTAGCCCGGCTAAATGCAAATTCGAAACGAATAGTATCGATTTTTTAAGGTTTAAAATAACCAAATTCGGGGTCGAAATTCTGCCGGACAAAGTTATTGCGATTTTAAAGTAAAAAATACCGGAAAGCGTTAAAAACATTTAAATATTTTTAAATTTTACGGGGTATTATTGGAAATTCGTAAAGGGCTACGCAAAAATTACTATGCTTTTAACAAACCTTTTTAGCAAAAATACCGTGTTTTACTTAAAAAATGTTGCGAAAAAGGCTTTTTGCAAATTAAAGCTGCTATTTACGAAAGCTCCGGTATTGGTGCATTTCGACCTTTTAAAACCGCTATGCGTACGGATTAACGTTTTGGCTTTCGCGATAAAAGCAATGCTATTGCAATTACAAAACGGCCGGTAATACCCGGTAGCTTACATATCGAAAAAGCTGCAATAAAAAAAGCTGCGCTATGCAATCCTTAATTTAAAATTGTTAGCAATCGTAAAAACTTTTAAAAAGTAACGGCATTACCTAACTTACTTACAAAAAATTGTTAAAATAATTACTAACCATTTAAATTATACCCATATTTTAACAAAAAAAAAGTAATAAAGCGCTAAGCAAAATGGTTCGAAAATTTAACAAAGTATAATTTTACGATTAAATAAAAGCCAAAATACCGGAACCTTGCGGATGGTTTGTTAAAACGTTCCCAAAATATACCCGTAAACGGGAAAGCCAATAAAGCAAAAAAAAAATTCCGAAACGATTTGTTGGCCAAATTCCAAAAAGCAGCTTACGTAAGGACAACCATTATTAAAAAGGATATTAAAACGATATTAAAGCGCATTTTCGAAATACAAGCAAAAAACGATTTCGTTTAAAGCGGCATTTGGAAAAACAAGCCCAACGTTTAGGAAATTAACGATAGCTTATTTAAATACAAAAAGAAAATTTGGGTTCCAAATTTAGCACCGTTTAAATGAATAATGCTTTAAAAACAATACGATAGCCCGACGGGGGGTTACAAAGGCATGGCCAAAATTTTAAAAAAGTTTAAACGGCAGTTTAAATAGCCGGGTATGGCTAAAAACGTACGCAAATACGTACGGACGTATTAAATATGCCAGCAAATAAAGCCAAAAATATAAGCACTTTACGGATTGCTAGCACTTTTGCCCGTGCCAAACCGCCCGGGACAAAAGTTATCGATGGATTTTATCGAAAAGCTTTTAACGTTAGTAAATGGAACCGGCAAAAAGCGCAACGCAATATTGGTAATGGTCGACCGGTTTACCAAATATAGCTTTTTTATCCTAACGTTTACGAAATTAACCAATAAAAAATTAGGGAATTTTTTATTTGCATACGTTTGGGGGCTGCTAAAAACGCCCGAAAGGATTGTATCGGACCGGAATAAGCTATTTACAAACGGGTTTTAAATAACTTTTGCCGGATATTTAAAGGTTGCAAAAAGGTTATTAATAGCATACCACCCTTAAATTAACGGGCAAACGGAACGAACAAACCAAACAATAAAGCATTACTTCCGGTGCTTTTGTTGCGAAAAACAAAACGATTGGGCGTCGTTGTTGCACTTAGCAGCGTAAATGCATAATACGAACGTACATTTAGGGTCGCAAAAAACCCCGGCGTTTTTGTTAATAAAGTTTTACTTACAAAAGCCTTATAACTTTTAAGTAATTAAAAAAAAACCTTCGGCAACGGTTAAGGTTAAAGCGGGGGCTTTGGAAACAATTAGGAAACAAACCAAAAAATTGCTAAAAAAAATAAATAATATGTACAAAAAGTACTATAACAAAGGCAAAACCCCGGTGCCTTTCGGGGTAAGCGATTGGGTATTATTAAATACGGCAAACATTAAAATAAAAAAGCCGTCGAAAAAGCTATTAAATAAATGGTTAAAACCTTTTTAAATTTTAAAAATGGTTGGGTTAGCCGGTTTGGCGTTTTAATTAAAGCTTTCGGTAAATTACCGAATATATAACGTATTCCCGGCAAATTTATTGCGGGCGTTTAAAAAAAAGCCCGGCAAAAAACCAAAAAATAAAAAACCAAAAATCGAAAAAAAAAAAAGGATCGTTTCGAAATAAAAGCTTTGTTAAAATATAAAAGGCTTTTGCGGAAACGAAAATACCTGGTTAAATGGATAGGTTATAACGAATCGGAAAATTCGTAAATCCCAAAAAAGGATATTACGAAAAAAATTGTTTAAACGTATAAAGCAAACTTATTGTAAGCGAGCTTATAGGATAAGGAAAATACCGAACCCTAGCGGGTAAATACCCGGAAAGGACGGGGGTATTACAAAAAAGGAGTAACAAGGGCCAAAAAAATGGCTTAAAAAAATATTTTAAACGTACCGAACCGGCTAGCTACCAGGGAAAAACGTAAAAAAACCCGTAAACGGTTTGTAATAACCGTAAAATATCGTGCCCTATAAACAAAAAGTTAAATAAAAACGGTATAATACGGGGAACGCCCCAAATTAATAATGCAATATATTTAAATTCCAAAAAACATATAAAGTATAATACATTTTGAAAAGCCCGTAAAAGGCATGCTTAGCGCGATACGCCAAAGCAATTACCGCATTTTAAACGTACGTCGTAATAAAAAACATTATTGCTTGCCCGAAAAGGAAATAGGAAAATTTCCAAATGGTACGGCGGACGGGCTTAAACGTTTGGATAACGGCAAATGCATATCGGCGGTATTTAAACCCATTAAAAAGCAAAAAAAAAGCATTTTAAAATTATTTATTGGGGCATTAAAACCTAATTGGTAAATATAAATACCGGAATTTTGCAATGCTGCAAAAGCAATATAACGAAAAAAATTATAATTTTAATTATAACAAATTAACGAAAAAAACTTAAAATTAACTACCTTTCGAAAAAGGAATACCAATAATTAATTAAAAAAATATGTAAAAAAAATCGATTAAATGCCGTATCCAAAAAAACCAAAACTTCCGGAAATTACGTCCTTTTCGCTAGCGCTATAATTATTACCGCTAAAGTCGTCGGCGCCGAAAGCGGCACCTCCCGGCGCTAATACGGACGCCGTACCCTTACGAAAAACCGCGCGGCTATAAGCTTAAATATCCGAATGCGCCGCAATCGTAGCAAAGCTAACGGCAATGCCATTAAAAAAAGCAACCATACTTTTTTTAAAACGTTTAAAAAACGCCTTTACCTCGTTAAAAGAATTACCGATACCAGCCAAAGCTTAAGCTTACCTTTTCGTTTAAACGGCGATAGCGTAAAGTTATTGGGAAATATTTTGGGTAATTTCCAATATTGTAACGCTAGCAATTTTGCGCTAAATGCGCTTTTAAATAACGGTTTAACGTTCGTAACGCGCAAATTGCTTGGCCAATATGGTATAAAAGGATTTAGCTTTTTAAATAGCCTTACGAGCGCGAAATTAAGCTTTGGTAAACTTTTTAAAAAGCTCCGGTATCGCTTTAAGCAACCGTTTGTAAATAGTATTTAAAATTTTGTAAAGGTTTTGGGCCATTTTCCAAAACCATTTAAAAAGTTTAACGCAAGCTTTATTGCCGATTACGTTTTTGCAATAAATACATTTGGAAAACCCCGTACAATTATTAAAATATATCGGTATACGGGGGTTAACGGCATAATCCTAATATGCTTAACAACCAAAACAACGGCTACAAAATACCGCACGTTCCGTATAATTGTTTTTAAAAAAAGGCAAACAAATAGGGTTCCAATTATCGCCTTATTGGGAATCAATAACTTTTTGCAACGGAAGCGCGTTGCGGATACCCATATAAAGCAAAAAAAAGGCAATGTTCGTTTTGGGGGCAAATCCATTAAAATCGAAAGCGTTGCAGCGGCGCTTGTCGCGCGTTTTACGCTTTTTTTTAGCGAAAGTCTTTTTGCCGCGGCGGTTAAAACCCGCCGGGGGGTTACCGGTAAAACGCTTGCGGAAATTTTAAAAAGCTACAAGCGCAAAAGGGCCCGATGGACCCGCAATATTTAAAAGGCTTACCGGAAGGTTACCGGCAAAGCAATCGTTAAAGATTTAAAGGACTAAAGGTTCCGGCGAAACCGAATTCGAATTTAACTAACCCACAATAGCTAAAGAAAATACCGGGGGGTTGCTAAAAAGGGCCAACGGGCCGGTTAAAACCGAAAAACCCGAAACAAACATTTAAAGGAACATTACTTTCCCTATATAATCGGGTACAAAAAATAACATTTGCAGCTACCGGTTAAATCCAAATGTTTAAAAAGAACGGCCAAACATTAATTACTTACGGTTACGATTATCGAAATTATTAAAATGGTTATTAAATGTATAAAAAGGAAAAAAAAAAGCTCGTAGCTTCGAACGGAAAAAAAAGCCTTTTATATACCGGCACGAACCCATTTTTCCAAATGCTACAAAATTTTACAGCCGGTTTCCCCAAACGTTGCCGGGCATCGGGGCGGTTTAGCAAAATACCGTAAGCTACCGGCTACTTACGGGGTCGCACGCGCGGTACAAACGGCCTAAAACAAACCGTATCGGAAAAAAGCAATATGTTAAAAGCACGGGCGAAACCGCCTAGTAAAAAGCAAAAAGCGTTAAATGCACGGGCGAAACCGCCCGGCAAAAAAAAAAAAAAGGGCGCTAATAGCCAGCCGGGCACGAACCCCCCAAAAATATGCCGGCAAATTACCGGTATTGCGGCCAAAGCATAATAGCAAAGCTAAAAAATAAAGTAAAGCTTAAATTGCACGAAAGCGCTTGGAACGCGAAGGATTTAAAAAACCGACCCCGGGTGCCCGAAAGGGCACGAAGGAAAGGGAGGTTAAAAAAGGAACAATCTTTGTTAGCGATAGCACCTTTGGTAGGAAATTTACGAAGGCTTGACAAAAAAAACACCGCATCCGGCCCGTAACCCGGTAACTACCCGCCTTTGTACCGATTAACCCTTAACAATATCGCGGCTTTTTTTGCCTTTTTTTTTTTAATCCTTTACGCAATTTTACCAAAAAATATTACTAGCAATTGCAAAATAGCAACAATAATAACCGTTATAAATCCTTTTTTCCTAGCTTCCGTTACTTTGTAGCCCATTTAACGTTTAATTGTAAAACCGTACATTCCTAGCGCTTCGCTAATATTTCGCTTCGGCTTTCCGCGGTTCGCGATCGCACCATAACGCCCAAAAAAAAAAGTGGTACGAAAAGGCCTGCTTTACTTTTTTTTAAAATAGCGAGCAATTTTAAAAAGCGCAAAGCCCGTTGTTTGTATATGGTTTTTTTTACATTTTTGCAATTTCCCGCTAACCCATTCCAATGTTTTTAACGGCTCGATTAGTTGCATTACGTGCATGCGCATAATAACCCGCAAAATTAACTTTAACAAAGCTTGCATGCAAAATTTTAATAAATCTTTTTTGTCGTTTTTTTTAATTTTATTTTCCCGGATACTTTGCTAATAAATTGCTTCGGTTTAAATTTTAAATTAAAAAAGTATATATATTATTGTTCGAAAAAAAAGGTTGGCAAAAACGGACAATGCACTTTTGCGTTGGGAAAGGGCGTTTTGAAATTAGGCCAACGTATATTTAACGCTACGAAAAAATTTAAATCCGTAAGTTTTGCTTTTATTGCCGACAATAACTTTACGAACCGTAAAAAGCATTACGTTTAAGCGTTTAACTTTACGGGCAAAGTAAAAGTTATAAATTCTTTTTTTACCTTATCGTATCCTTTACGTCCCCGGTGCGTCGCTAATACCTTAAACAGGATTGGGAAGCTTGGCTTCCTTAGTACGAACGCCGCGCTTACGTTAAATTTAAAGCCGCTTGCGAAACGTACTTCCCGAACGATACCCCGGCCCCGGTAAAGCCTCCCCGTTATTTCGCGGGAAACCCCGAAATCGAAGTTCGCCGCGATATTATTATTACCGACATTTTTATTAAAATGTTTTTTATATTTAATATTGCTTTTAACTATTTTTAAGCTGGGCGTAACGGGCTTAACGATTTTACGTTAATGGGTTGCGTTAAAATTTATACGCGGAACGTTCGATTTCGTCGAAATATTTACGCTTAATTTTATAACAACGCTACCAAATTTTTTAATCGCTATAACGAATATTTCGAAAAGGTTACCCCCGCCAATTTTTTGCAAATTGGTAACGGTAACGGTAACGGTAAAGATAATAAAATAACAAATGGCTTTTTTTCGGTAATTAATAATTTTGCGGCTAAATTTAAAAAAAAGGACAATGCGGCTGGTTTTTAGCTTATTAATAAATTTGGTTAAAATAAAGTTACGGGTTTAACCGGGGTCGCTATAGCGGTAACGGGGGCGGTAAAAAGGGTATCGGCGGCGCTTGGGGTAACGATTAAAAAAGCAGCCGTTATTGCATTCCTTTCCCCTTTCCAAGCGCTTCCCCGCAATTTTAATAAATCCAATTTTGGTTTTAAAAATAAAAGCGATAATATAGCCGTTTAAGCGCTATATACCCGGCGGTTCGGATTTTTTATATTTAGGATTTTAAAAATAATTCGCGGCAACCCGCCTTTACGGGCGTAAATAAATCCCCGCTTTTTAGCGTTAAAATAAAAGGCTGCGTTATTTTGCTTGTTAGTATGTAATATTATTAATAATTAATAAAATCGTTGGAAGGTTTTTTTAACAAAATTTAATATAAATTTGGCTTTTTGGAACCGGGGCGGTTAAGCTTTTTATTTTTTTTCCGAATTCGCCGTTTCGTTGCGGCGTTTAACGTTCTTTTATTTTTTCCTTTTCTTTTTCGCTCTTTTCGCTTACGTATCGATAATATCGCTCGACAAAGCGTAGCTAAAAAACCGTCCTGTCTTTATAAACCACTTTGTAACGATCGCTGCTTCGTTTGGCTGGCTTAGCAAGGATTTCGCCGCCCTTTTTATTGCTTAAAAAAGTTTTTTTTTATTTTTGCAAGTTCGGGCAATATAGCAATACATATGCTACCGTTTCCGGGTCCTAACCGCATTAATACGTTACGGCCACGCCAAGGACTTTCCGGAAAGCTAAGTAACCCCAAAGCCTTAGCCTTTCCGTTTTTAACTAAACCAATAACAAGCTTTAAATTTTATAAAAGTCGCGGTAAAAGTTTAGGATTTTTTTGTTGGGTTGCTTTTTATTAGCTTTAACGCCCTTTTTAATTGCCGTAACGTAATTGTATTACCTTTTTTTCCATTTTTTTAGCACCGCTATTTCCGGGTTTAATTTTCCGATCCAATTTAACGCTTTTTCCCGTTAACGAAATAGCCGCGTAATTATAACCGTAAGCCTTCGTTTTTTATTTTTTAATTTCCGCTGTACCTTTTTGCAAATATTTGTAATTTTTTCCGTTAAACCGCCTTTTTTTAACTTCCTTTCGAAATAAATAACGCAACCATTTAACCATATTTAAATCGGGGCTATATGCGTTTTTAATTTTAGCAATTTTTATAAAGTTTTTTTATAAACCCCCGTTATTATTTTTAAGCAATTATTTTGCGTTTTTGCTTACGCTTTGGCCATTTTTTTGGGCCGCAACGGGGTAGCGTCGAATTTATAATAAACCGGGGCCGCGTAATTTAATATTGTTTTAATTACGGCCAGGTATAAGTATTTGGTTTTGGTAAACGTAAGTCCTTACGTTATCGCTGCTAAGCGCGTAATAAATAACATTTAAATCGCTATTTTTTCGCGCATTTTTTAAATATGCTAAGTCCAATCCAATTTGGAATTAATCCAAAAGCTTAATATTCGCATTGCTTTTTTTATCGTTTTTGGTTTTACCGTAACCTTTTCGAAACGGAAAGGTAACGTTAGCGCGGGTTTTTTCCTTTTTATTAACCAAACCAATTAATATTTAACCGGGTCGAACTTCGTTCCAAATTTTTTTATTTATTCCAAGCATACGTTGTAAGCGGTTTTAAATTTGTTAATTGCGTTCGTTGCGTTGCGGTCGAAGCTAATTAAATTGGTATTATTTACAAATCCCGTAACCGCAACCCTTTTTACTTCCCGTAACTTTTTGTACAAGCTTACCGTGTAAATAATAAAAAGGATAGGTAATATTGGGAACTTTTGCGGAATTTCGCATAAAACTTTATCCTTTGCCGTATTTTTGCCGTTAAAAAAGAATATTATTTCCCGATCGTTTAAAAAGCTTTTAAAAAAATCCAAAATCCATTGTAAAAATTGGTATTTTTTTATTTCGTTGAAAAAGCGTACATACGATACGGTATTGAAAGCGCCGTTTATATCGAATAATAAAAAACCAATTACCGCTTTTGCGTTCCAAACCGTATTTACCATTTTTGTAAATAAGCGTATGGCCGTTTCCGTAAATTTGTATTATTGGTTGCTTATTTATTCGTTGGAAAATAATTAATAATTTTTTACGGCGTTTTTAATGCAAAACGTTAAAATTTTTTTTAACGCTTTTTTTATTGTTTTTAAAAAAGCAATTAGCTTTTACGCGTTTAAAATGTTTAAATTTTTATTGGGTTTTTAAAAAATAATGGTACGAAATTTCCGGAACCTTTTCGGAAAGTAACCGCGATTTACGCATGCCGTAAACATTTCCGCCAATGCTTTAAAAAATGCCGGTTCCATTATTAACAATCCCCCGGTAAAAATCCCCGTTGGGTTTGGGGCTTTTTAATATTTTATGCTTCGAAAGGTTTTTTTTACGTCCTTTGCGGTAATTTTTTTGCGGACGAGCAAAGGTTAAAAAGGTAATTCGGGGTATTTAGGGATATCGGTAATATCCGCCGTTAATATAAAAAAAAATTTCCCTTTTAGGGCTGCTTTTTTCGCTTTTTTTGTTGCCGTTACCCTTTCGCTTAATAATTTTAACAACGGGAGTAACGGGGGGGGGAAAAAATCGGTAACTTTTATATTTTGCCCATTTGGCAATGGTTTACATGCTTTTAGCGTTTTATATAATGCTTGCTTTATACATTACGATACGTTACATATACCTTTTCGCTACTTTAATAGCGCTTT